CGTATTTTCTCTTGCGGATCAATAGAAAGACATTTTACTGGCTCAATAGATTTTCACACTTTAAACTTCATAATGCATTATGAAACGTACGAGAAGAGTGTTGAATGTACACTAATAGGAAAGTTAAGGTTTCCAGCACACACGGCAACATGTTCAGCAACACGCTAGATCCGATTGCAAAAAGAAATTCTCTCTGAAACAGATACTTGCGACGCTAATATAGTGAAGGATAATATCTCTTACGGTTTAAATACAATAAAACATGACACATGCGTCGCCTTACATTATCACCTGACAAATAACAGCTTCACACAAAAAGTGCATGAGAAATACAGGGATGATACACACATACACGTGGTGTGTTGTTGTAGAGGCTGATAGACACACATACGGATGATACCCACATACATGGATGATACATACATACAGGGATGATACACGCTTACAGGGAAGATACACACATACATGAATGATACATATATACAGGGATGATACACACATACAGGTGGTGTGTAGTTAGTTGTAGAGGCTGATAGACACACACATGGTTGATACACACACACATGGATGATACACACATACATGAATGATACACACATACAGGGATGATACACACATACAGGGATGATACACACAAACATGAATGATACACACATACAGGGATGATACCCACATACAGGGATGATACACACATACAGGGATGATACACACATACAGGGATGATACACACATACATGTGGTGTGTAGTTAGTTGTAGAGGCTGATAGACACACACATGGTTGATACACACATACATGGATGATACATACATACAGGGATGATACACACATACATGGATGATACACACATACAGAGTTGATACACTTACACAGGGCTGATACATACACACGTGGATGATACACACATACGAGGCTGATACATACACACGTGGATGATACACACATATGAGGCTGATACATACACACGTGGATGATACACACATACAGAGTTGATACACACACAGGGATGATACACATATACATGGATGATACATACATACAGGGATGATACATACATACATGGATGATACATACATATATGGATGATACATACAAGGATGAAACATACATACATTGTTGATACACACATACAAAGTTGATATACACTTACATGATTGACATGACACATGCTTCGCCTTACATTATCACCTGACAAATAATAGCTTCACACAAAAAGTGCATGAGAAATAAAACAGAGGCCAGGCAATGATGTCATGATGTAGTGGTCACAAGTGATGCAGCTGTAGTGAACGAGAGTTATCAATGGCGCAGCTGTAGTGAACGAGGCCAGGCAATGAGGCAGCTGTAGTGAACGAGGCCAGGCAATGAGGCAGCTGTAGTGAACGAGGGTTATCAATTTCGCAGCTGTAGTGAACGAGGCCAGGCGATGAGGCAGCTGTAGTGAACGAGGGTTATCAATGTCGCAGCTGTAGTGAACGAGGCCAGGCAATGAGGCAGCTGTAGTGAACGAGGGTTATCAATGTCGCAGCTGTAGTGAACGAGGGGTATCAATGACGCAGCTAGAGTGAACGAGGCCAGGCAATGACACAACTGAAGTGAACGAGGGTTATCAATGTCGCAACTGTAGTGAACGAGCGGTATCAGTGACGCAGCTGTAGTGAACGAGGCCAGGCAATGACACAGCTGAAGTGAATGTGGCCAGGATATGGGGCAGATGTAGTGAACGAAGCCAGGCAATTTCGCAACTGTAGTGAACGAGGGTCATCAATGACGCAGCTGGAGTGAACGAGGCTAGGCAATGACAAAGCTGGAGTGAATGTGGCAAGGATATGGGGCAGATGTAATGAACGAAGCCAGACAATTTCGCAGATGTAGTGAACGAGTGTTAGCATTTACGCAGCTGCAGTGAACGAGGCCAAGTAATGATGCAGCTGTTGTAAACGAGGGTTAGCAATGACGCTGCTGGAGAGAACCAGGGTTAGCAATGACGCAGCTGGAGTGAACGAGGCCAGGCAATGACGCAGCTGTAGTGAACGAGTGTTTGCATTTACACAGCTGTGGGGAACGAGGCCAGGCAATGACGCAGCTGTAGTGAACGAGGCCAGGCATGGACGCAGCTGGATTGAACGAGGGTTAGCAATGACGCAGCTGGAATGAACGAGGCCAGGCAATGACGGCAGGAGTGAAGGAGGCTAGGCAATGACGCAGCTGGAATGAAGAAGGCCAGGCAAGGACGCGGCTGTAGTGACTGAGGCCAGGCAATGAGACGCGGCTGTAGTGAACGAGGGTTATGAATGAGGCAACCGTAGTGACTGAGGTCAGGCAATGACGCGGCTGTAGTGAACGAGGGTTATGAATGAGGCAACCGTAGTGAACGAGACCAGGCGATGATGCAGCTGGAGTGAACGAGACAAGGCCATGGCGCAGCTGGGGTGAACGAGGGTTAGCAATGAAGCTGCTGGGGTGAACGAGGGTTAGCAATGACGCAGCTCTAGTGAACGAGGGTTAGCAATGATTCGTCTGTATTGAACGAGGCCAGGCAATGACGCAGCTGGAGTGAACGAGGGTTAGTTATGACGCGTCTGTAGTGAACGAGGGTAAGCAATGACTCGTCTGTAGTGAACGAGGCCAGGCAGTGACGCAGCGGTTGTGAACGAGGCCAGGCCATGACGCCGCTGGACTGAACGAGGGTTAGCAAAAACGCAGCTGTAGTAAACGAGGCCAAGCAATTATGTCACGACACAGTGTGCCCGCTCGCTGCTGCAGGCTATAGGACCTGGTGTGCTAGTGTGAAGACGTCTCTGCCCACTGTCCAGCCAGGGTATCACCACAATAACTTTTCCCTGGCCTGCTTTCACCAGCGGGTCTTGTGGGACGAAGGTGTAGAAGCCTTAACAGTTGTTAAGAGAGTTTTACGTGTCAATGAGGAGGAAGATCAATGCCCAATGCCAGTTTACACTCGTATTTCGCATGTTCAAAGGAATGCGGTTCCAGGGGCCTGTTAACCTTCGCATGCTAAATTCACCTTAATACGCTGACATGAAACAGTGACAGATTTAGTAAGAAAAGTATGTTTTTATGTCAAACATGAAGAAAAATAGTTTTCCATCGTTCCTTGGTGGAGTCACACTGTATCTGTTCGCCATTGTCATAATCATTTTAAAAGATCCCAAAAGAACAATGAATAATCGTTTGCTTCTAAACGCTCTATGAAATATGCCATTAAACACGATGGACTATATCAAAACAATATATGCAACGTACGCTTAACACTGTCTAATGGTAAACCAGGCCTTAGATGTAGGTGTAGTATCTATGTATTGACACATGTATAGACAGCAGGCTACCAGACTAGAATCCTCATCGTGTGATAATGGAGAAGGGAGGGGGTGGGGGGTGGGGGTGGGGGTCATGGAATTCGTCCATAGTTTAATGAAAACGAAGCTCAACTGAACATGAACATGTCGCAGTCGTTTTGCATGGATATGTATCAGCGAGTTCCGCGCCACCTACTGATGGTCTAACGTGTGGTAATGTTTGCGACGTCTGAAGCAGATCTTCTACACACTAATCTTAAGAGCTATTTCCCCCGGCGACTACAGCTTTTGACGACATCGTCTACAGCGACGCTGCTATTCCAGAAATATTCAAGCTTCTGAAGCTGGAGGTTAGCTCTACAGCGTCTATAAGCGAATACATAGTGCGTTCGTTTCGTATGCTTGACATCGGGTTCAATTTCCAACATGGGTAAGATTTGTCAACTCCCTTCTGTTGGTGTATTCCGTCGCCGCCATTGAAGGCCGAGATAGAAATGTTCCCACGTTCTTACTTATGATTTACAACCATGTTAGCATGAATGTTATATTCTTTTCGTCGAATCGAAAATGCGTTTATTCCGACTGTCGTGTTCTAGAGCCCGATGTTCCCGACTGTCGTGTTCTAGAGCCCATTGTTCCCGACTGTCATGTTCTAAATCCCGAACTTTCCGACTGTCGTGTTCTAGAGCCCAGTGTTTCCGACTGTTGTGTTCTAGTGCCCAGTGTTCCTGACTGTCGTGTTCGAGAGCCAAGTGTTCCCGACTGTCGTGTTCTAGAGCCCAGTGTTTCCGACTGTTGTGTTCTAGTGCCCAGTGTATCCGACTGTCGTGTTCTAGAGCCCAGTGTTCCCGACTGTCGTGTTCTAGAGCCCAGTGTATCCGACTGTCGTGTTCTAGAGCCCAGTGTTCCCGACTGTCGTGTTCTAGTGCCCAGTGTATCCGACTGTCGTGTTCTAGAGCCCAGTGTTCCCGACTGTCGTGTTCTAGAGCCCAGTGTTTCCGACTGACGTGTTCGAGAGCCAAGTGTTCCCGACGGTCGTGTTCTAGTGCCCAGTGTTTCCGATTGTTGTGTTCTAGTGCCCAGTGTTTCCGACTGTCGTGTTCGTGCGAGGATCACCTAAACACTGTTTGGTGTACTTTATAAATTTTAATCTGTACATGATAAATAAAATGTTGGACACCACTTATATATACTCCAAAACAATTTCCCAGATGAAAGCTGAAACTCATCAGACGCTTCTATTTTAGCCCATGGGTGGGGGCAGGGAGCAGAGTCTTATCGATAAATGTACGGGTTATCTCTAGCCGTGTTTTGTAGCATTTTGAATTGTCATGACCAGGCATGGGCATCACGTTCAAGTAGAGACAGAAACTTGCACGTTACGACTGCCGGCGTATTTAGAACCTCCAGAATGTGATGTAGTTGTAGCAATAGGCCATTAACGTTTCTATGAGGAATCTTGATGGTGGCGACAAAAGTATTCATCCTACGAGACAGATGAAGGGGGGATGTTGTTAAAATGGAAATAGGCGTCATATAGCCAGACGAGGGGGGATTCTAATTCAGGCGGAATATCCGGGTGAAACATCCCCACATGTCACTCATCAAGGTAGTACATCCCCACATTTCACTCATCCAGGTGGAACATCCCCACATATCACTCATCGAGGTTGAACATGCTCACATGTCACTCATCCAGGAGGAACATCCCCACATGTCACTCATCCAGGAGGAACATCCCCACATGTCACTCATCCAGGTGGAACATCTTCACATGTCACTCATCAAGGTGGAACATCCCCACATGTCACTCATCCAGGTGGAACATCCCCACATGTCACTCATCCAGGAGGAACATCCCCACATGTCACTCATCCAGGTGGAATATCCCCACATGTCACTCATCCAGGTGAAACATCCCCACATGTCACTCATCCACGTGGAACATCTTCACATGTCACTCATCCAGGATGAACATCCCCACATGTCACTCATCCAGGTGGAACATCCCCACATGTCACTCATCCAGGTGGAACATCCCCACATGTCACTCATCCAGGTGGAACATCCCCATATGTCACTCATCCAGGTGGAACATCCCCACATGTCACTCATCCAGGTGGAACATCCCCACATGTCACTCATCCAGGAGGAACATCCCCACATGTCACTCATCCAGGTGGAATATCCCCACATGTCACTCATCCAGGTGGAACATCCCCATATGTCACTCATCAAGGTGGAATATCCCCATATGTCACTCATCCAGGTGGAACATCCCGAAATGTCACTCATCCAGATGGAACATACAGGTGGAACATCCCCACATGTCACTCATCCAGGTGGAACATCCCCAAATGTCACTCATCCAGGAGGAACATCCCAAACATGTCACTCATCCAGGAGGAACATCCCAAACATGTCACTCATCCAGGAGGAACATCCAAGCATGTCACTCATCCAGGTGGAACATCCCCACATGGTACTCATCCAGGTGGAACATCCCCACATGTCATTCATCCTGGGGAACATCCCCACATGTCACTCATCCAAGAGGATCATCCCCACATGTCACTCATCCAGGAGGAACATCCCCACATGTCATTCATCTAGGTGGAACATCCCCACATGTCACTCATCTAGGAGGAACATCCCAAACATGTCACTCATCAAGGTGGAACGTCCCCATATGTCACTCATCCAGGTGGAACATCACCATATGTCACTCATCCAGGTGGAACATCCCCACATGTCACTGATCCAGATGGAACATCCCCACATGTCACTCATCCAGGTGGAACATCCCCATATGTCACTCATCCAGGTGGAACATCACCATATGTCACTCATCCAGGTGGAATATCCCCACATGTCACTCATCCAGGTGGAACATCACCATATGTCACTCATCCAGATGGAACATACAGGTGGAACATCCCCACATGTCTCTCATCCAGGTGGAACATCCCCACATGTTACTCATCAAGGTGGAACATCCCCACATGTCACTCATCCAGGAGGAACATCCCAAACACGTCACTCATCCAGGAGGAACATCCCAAACATGTCAATCATCCAGGTGGAACATCCCCACATGTCACTCATCCAGGTGGAACATCCCCACATGTCACTCATCCAGGTGGAACATCCCCTTATGTCACTCATCCAGGTGGAACATTCCCACATGTCACTCATCCAGGGGAACATCCCCACATGTCACTCATCCAGGAGGAACATCCCCACATGTCACTCATCCAGGAGGAGCAAGTATGTCACATGTGATACAGTCATGAATGGAGCAAGTACGTCACATGTGATAGAAGTCATGAATGAAGCAAGTACGTCACATGTGATACAGTCATGAATGAAGCAAATACGTCACATGTGATACAGTCATAAATGAAGCAAGTACGAAACATGTGAAACATTTCCGAATGAAGCAAGCACGTCACATGTGATACAGTGAAATATGAAGCAAGTTCGTCACATGTGATACAATCATGAATGAAGCAGGTACGACAAATTTGAAATATTTACGATTGAAGCAAGCACGCCACATGTGATACAGTTATAAATGAAGCAAGCGCGTCACATGTGATACAGTCATAAATGAAGCAAGCGCGTCACATGTGATACAGTCATTAATGAAGCAAGTACGACATATGTGAAACATTTCCGAATGAAGCAAATACGTCTCATGTGATACAGTGAAATATGAAGGAAGTACGGCACATGTGATACAGTCATGACTGCGGCAAGTACGACACATGTGAAATATTTACGAATGAAGCAAGTACGTCACATGTGATACAGTCATGAATGAAGCAAGTACGTCAATGTGATACAGTCATATATGAAGCAAGTACGACACATGTGAAACATTTCCGAATGAAGCAAGCACGTCACATGTCATACAGAGAAATATGAAGCAAGTACGTCACATGTTATACAGTCATGAATGAAGCAAGCACGTCACATGTGATACAGTCATAAATGAAGCAAGTACGACACATGTGAAACGTTTACGAATGAAGCAAGTACGTCACATGTGATACAGTCATGAATGAAGCAAGTACGTCACTTGTGATACAGTCATATATGAAGCAAGTACGTCATATGTGAAACATTTCCGAATGAAGCAAATACGTCTCATGTGATACAGTGAAATATGAAGGAAGTACGGCACATGTGATACAGTCATGACTGCGGCAAGTACGACACATGTGAAATATTTACGAATGAAGCAAGTACGTCAATGTGATACAGTCATTAATGAAGCAAGTACGTCAATGTGATACAGTCATATATGAAGCAAGTACGACACATGTGAAACATTTCCGAATGAAGCAAGCACGTCACATGTCATACAGAGAAATATGAAGCAAGTACGTCACATGTTATACAGTCATGAATGAAGCAAGCACGTCACATGTGATACAGTCATAAATGAAGCAAGTACGACACATGTGAAACGTTTACGAATGAAGCAAGTACGTCACATGTGATACAGTCATGAATGAAGCAAGTACGTCACTTGTGATACAGTCATATATGAAGCAAGTACGTCACATGTGATACAGTCATGAATGAAGCAAGTACGTCACTTGTGATACAGTCATATATGAAGCAAGTACGACACATGTGATACAGTCATGAATGGAGCAAGTACGTCACATGTGATACAGTCATAATTGAGGCAAGTACGTCACATCTGATACAGTCATAAATGAAGCAAGAACGACACATGTGATACAGTCATAAATGAAGCAAGTACGACACATGTGAAACATTTACGAATGAAGCAAGTACGTCACATGTGATACAGTCATATATGAAGCAAGTACGTCACATGTGATACAGTCATGAATGAAGCAAGTACAACACGTGTGATACAGTCACGAATGAAGCAAGTACGTCACATGTGATACAGTGAAATATGAAGGAAGTACGTCAAATGTGATACAGTCATGAATGAAGCAAGTACGTCACATGTGATACAGTCGTGTATGAAGCAAGTACGTCACATGTGATACAGCCATGAATGAAGCAAGTACGTCACATGTGATACAGTCATGTATGAAGGAAGTACGTCACATGTGATACAGTCATATATGAAGCAAGTACGTCACATGTGATACAGTCATGAATGAAGCAAGTACAACACGTGTGATACAGTCATGAATGAAGCAAGTACGTCACATGTGATACAGTCATATATGAAGCAAGTACGTCACATGTGATACAGTCATGAATGAAGCAAGTACAACACGTGTGATACAGTCATGAATGAAGCAAGTACGTCACATGTGATACAGTCATATATGAAGCAAGTATGTCACATGTGATACAGTCATGAATGAAGCAAGTACGTCACATGTGACACAGTCCCGAATGAAGGAAGTACTACACATGTGATGCACTCATGAATGAAGCAAGTACGTCACATGTGACACAGTCCCGAATGAAGGAAGTACTACACATGTGATGCACTCATGTATGAAGGAAGTACGTCACATGTGATACAGTCATATATGAAGCAAGTACGTCACATGTGATACAGTCATGAATGAAGCAAGTACGTCACATGTGACACAGTCCCGAATGAAGGAAGTACTACACATGTGATGCACTCATGAATGAAGCAAGTACGTCACATGTGATACAGTCATATACACTGCAAGTACGTCACATGTCTCAACAAGTATTCAATGTAAGTAAGAGCAATAATTCTAATTTACTTTTACATTTACTGGTGATGGTGGCATTACAACTGAACTGTTCCAGCGGTATCAGCAAGCAGTTTCTTCGTGAGAGCAGGCTTGATCTGAAGACGACGTACCTATACAGGACATGCTTAATTAGACAGAAAGGGGTGACTGACACAACTAAACATGATCAGAACTCGGAATTCTCAGATCACCAATCATTTAATCATACCTACGCAATATCCCGATTCCAACTCCTCGCACACAAGAAACCAACAAAACAAACTGAAGGAGAATGCAAGACATGAACGCGTTGTATCTTCAGATCCCCCAACACCCCCCACCTCTCCCTCCCCTCCCTCCCCACCGGTTACGTGGCACATTCATCACCCTGGACATGGACAGATACACCATTCATTACTTGTGGTTTAATATGGAAAATGTCAACCAAGTATTGGCTTGGCGGCATGAATTGTCGCGCCCGTGGCGAGACAAATACCAATAAAGCACATATCAAAACGAGTGTGATGAATTCTTGTTATCATAAAACTATTAAACCAGGGAATTTATTATTCCGTGGTTGTTTCCAAAGTGTGGGGATCTTGTTTAAATCTGTTCAACAATATTCCAGGTACATGACGACGGTATGTATATAATCTAATTTGGACCAGACAAACCACGCCCCACGCCGTTATTGCGTATCAGACGTTGTTGTTTGACTTTTTAACGGAGTGGGTTCTCTACCGCTCGTATATGGTTTTAGTAATCGCGCCCCTTTGTCAATTTCTATGCGTCCAGGGTGCTTATTATGATATGTCATGTACAAGATTATCAATAAGTCGATCCTTTCTTCGTTATCCACACTTTAAAATTAGATTTACTACGTCTCAGAGCATACATTCTCTGCTCTGATTTCTCAGTCAGAGGTTTCAATTAATGCAAGTCCCACCATCATGTTTCTGATGGCATGGTCATGTTTCTGATGGCATGTTTATGTTTCTGATGGCATGTTTATGTTTCTGATGGCATGTTTATGTTTCTGATGGCATGGTCATGTTTCTGATGGCATGTTTATGTTTCTGATGGCATGGTCATGATTCTGATGACATGGTCACGTTTCTGATGGCATGTTTACGTTTCTGATGGCATGTTTATGTTTCTGATGGCATGTTTATGTTTCTGATGGCAGGGTCATGTTTCTGACGGCATGGTCATGTTTCTGATGTCAGGGTCATGTTTCTGATGTCAGGGTCATGTTTCTGATGGCATAGTCATGTTTCTGATGCCATAGTCATGTTTCTGATCGCTGCTGATAATGTACTGATTGATAAGATAGTTATTAAACCCTTCATGGAGAAGAAATTCATTGAAATTAAACGAGAAACAGCTTCAGATAATAAAAGCTTGTAAAAATATAATTTGGTTACAAAAATCTCCCACAAGGAGATATTAGTGTTTCTGTGCTGTGAACAGACCGTTATAACACGACTTCAAAATAATCTAGCTAAGTGGAAAATACTCCACGCTACAAGGAAAACACTTCGTCCATGACAATACATGGAAATGAAAGATCTTAAGATTGGAAACTGGATACTTTAACTTTATTGATAACAATGTCCACAGAGATGTTCAAACAATTTACGATGCAGTCCATGCTTTCATACGCCCTTAAACAGAAATAACAGAAGTAAATGTGCGTAGTTACACGGGTATTTAGTCCCAACATGTTGTATAAATCTCCACTCCATTGGCAACAGATCCGGTAAAAGACACCCCATGAAGCGCTATGTCTCATAAAGATCCGAAGATTGAGACGGGTTATGGAATCAACTATTCACAGCGTCTGCGATTGACCACCACGCCGGGAACATGACCTACTGACCAGTCATTGTGTGTAGATCAGGTGGTCTTAATAATTGATAACAATGTCCACCCCCCCCCCCCCCCCTCCCCCCCCACCCCACCCCCCACCCCCCCTCAACCCTTCAAAACAACAGCCTACGTTAAGTGTTGTACCTTCATATTATACGTGTAAAATAGTGAGTGAGTTGTGTTTTAGGCTGCTTTGGACACTATTCCAGTTATCTCACGGCGTGTCAGATTAATGTGGGGGAAAAGTCCGAAGTGATGCGGGTCTTAGAGGTTTAACACTTTGGAGAAACCCACATACACGGGTATGGTCCTGACAAACTAATGATCATTGTGTAACTAGGCTGGAATTATGGAGTTATATTTTAGTTAGTTATACTAACGAGCCTATGCATCGTCCAACAAAAATAGCGTGGCGAAATCGACATCTGGTTTGTAAACTGCCGTGCAGATTTCGGTCGACTGCAGGATTTGCAAAGCATGTGTACCGTCAATTTAGCGTCAACATATATATTCCAAATCTTTTCATGTTTTGTATCAAGCTGCTTACGTGATTTGATGCACTTCGTGAAGAAAGACCCGTATTATTACAATAGAGATCTTGATTATCGATCAAATCGTCTTGACTGATCGGCGCCATTTTGTTGGAAGCAAATGCAAGTGATATGAGAGGTGGAAACCTTTCAATAGGAGTGACACAGAAGTGACAAAACTCGTAATCGCCACTGGTTGTCCTACTGTCGAGCTCAGAAATTCCAGCCTAGTTCGGCAAGGGTGGAAACTTGACTTT